ATAGGCCTATCCTCCTCCGTACTATGTTGTGCAGAGGCAACAACGGTGGCAACTGTATGCCTCCTGGCAGCTGGAGCTTTAGGCTCTGCAGCCAGTCGTCTCCTGCTTCCTGGAAGTGGAGATGGAGCTTTCGTTAAGGCTGGTAGTTGTGCTTCGCGATCTACCGATTGCGGATCTTCATGGGTTACGGGGCTTCCTTGACTTGCCGAAACACTCCTTCCAGAACCACCCGACTGTGGCGTCTCTCCATCCGAATTACTAGCCCGTGGAGAGGGCGGCAATGCTTCAACGACTCTAGTGGAGGTAAAGCGCACAAGAGGCTGCGGCATGTTGGCATTCCAGTCTACAGCGCAGCGACTACCCGCTCCCAACTGCCTGGGTAGTCCCAACTCCGGGCAGTCCTCGACACTGTCCTCCAGTAAAGGAGTGACAGCGGAGTTGAGGGTGTCTTGCGAGTCCTCAGACCTAGCCGATGCAACAGGCTCAGTCACTGGCTCGCTGATGTGGCGCGGGGACGTGGCCCAGTTCACAGCCGTCGGCCGGAATGCTTTTCTTTCTTCAGTATTCTTCTCCAGCAAAGCTGCGGGTGATCGCGTTTTCAGGGGCCGCTTGTGTTGTAGAGCACCCTGGGGTAGCCGCGAAGCAACGTGCATATATGAATTCCCCGTGCTAACTGAACGCACCGGCCGAGGTTTATCATACCAGCGCAACGGTGCCACGAGTCCTCCCGATTCAGCAGAATTTCCCACATCACGTTTCGGAACAGCGCGGACTCTTGTAGAGGGAGCGCGTCTAGAATCGCGGTCCTTCGACGAGCCATTAAACGCATTTCGGGGTGCATCGATAGGAACACCAGGGTACTGTACGCCTGGTCGCGAAGCTACAGGATTATCCTCGCTCCATCCCCTCGGCGCCTGCACCACTCCCCGAGATGCAGAGGCGGAAAGTGTCCTCGTTGGGCTTGCCCGTGAGTTGTGGTGCAAAGCCGGGCGCAAACGATTCTCTGCACTGCGTGTTGGAGCATTTGCATGCATTGACCGGAAGCATGCGGTAGAAACAGGCCTTGCGGAAGGCCGTTGGGCCATGCGGTTGGGGGAGTAATCCCTCTCATCGACGGGGCCTTGCAGACCAGCGGTGTTTGTCGTTCTGCTGTCGGCAGCAAACTTTCCGAGAGCATCTCTAAGGGGAACTAGCGGCATAACGACACGCAACAGCTTCTGCAGGAGTTCTGGACGTTGGAGAAGATCATCAGGTCGCCCGTCCTTCTCCAGCTGATCCACAAGGTGTTGCAGCAGTACCCATGTGCGACGTTTTTGAAGATGCGAGAGGTCTGGATCTGCAGAGGCATCTGAGGCAGAATATTTATGTGCTTCTGAGGGGATCACCGAGCCAGCTGGTCCATCCGGCGGAGAAGGACCACGTACAGCATTTGACGGGCTTCTTGAAACTTTGGTGATCTTGTCACTAAGCAATTTGAATTGCACCACCTGCCGCTGTTGACGCTCCAGACGCCTCTGTTCCCCAATGTTCACACTGGATGCATG